ATTCTGCCTTGGAATCTTAAGCTCATTCATTCAATTCTATTGAACACCTATTGTGCACAGCATACAAAGCTAAACACTGCTTTTATTGTACAATTCCTTATTCAACTGCTGTTTCCTTACTATAATCTTCTTTATGAACAACCAAGGTGAACCAGGAATCTATACAGACCCAAAGATGATAGTAGCTCTTAGACTGTTGCTTTTTAAGAGCTTTTGAAAATCTATTATAGTTCACTCTGTGCTTAACTATTAGCAGACTCTTCTCTGTGATGTTGAACCATCCGTGGAAATTGAATGGCTGAGACTAAGTCATATCCTGTGCCTTCTAAAGGAAACTTTAGGTTAAAGTCTCTAAGAAGGTTCAGATAAGGTAAGGGAATATGATAACCCACACCATCCTATCTAACAGCAATGTCAAGTACAAACCTAGAATAAACTGCAGAGTACCCTTTGCTGTATTAATTACTTGAAATGTGCTCCACTAGCATATGTAAATCCAGTACTACTCATCCTTTTAAAACATAGAACACTTCCACCTGCTCCTAGAGTACTGCTCTTAAACTAGAATTAAGCTTCCATGCTTATGTCTATTTTAAAGATCAAGTCCTAAAGTTTTGTTTCACAACCACCTGTAATTGGGGGTGGAAGAGAGAAGCTTGGACATACTCAGGGCAAGTGTTTCTGATTAGAATTGGCTGTACCTATGCCTTGACCTTACACATGGTCTGTGTCTTGTCCTGGAGCCAGACCTAGGCCTCTCATTCACCTCAAGGATGGGATTTGGCCTTTGCAACATTTAAGTCAAATCCAGCCAAACTGAGAATGTGACAGTCTGTCCCAGAAGGATCTGCGCTGGGAGTCAAAGGCTAATAAATGCAGTGCTGTGCTCAACACAGTTCTGCTACAGTGAGGGAGCATTCATTCTACAACTATCACAAACTAGTAATAGGAGCCTTTTATATGCAAAAATGTCAAACAGTATTTATGAGGAGTCTATTACTAATTTTCTAACCATGTGTCGAGCTAATGGCAGCATATAAAAAGTGTTTAAGGAATCATAAGCAGTTCTTGATTCAATTATCAGTGATTCAGGTGAAAATATTTTAAAGCAATTGTTTTGTGATGTCTTCTGTTCCAGCCTGAAATTTTGTTCTTAGTTTTCTCCCTTTTCATGAAAGTAACACATATTTATTGGAGGAAATTGGCAGATTCAGAAGGAAAAAGTATAGAAAAAATAATCCCAACAGTAGCAACATGAACTAATGTCAACTTTTATAGCTTAATAATTATCCAAATCTCCGTCAATCAAAATATACTGACAACAGATAGAGTAGAAAAGCTTTTCAAGTTAGGTTTTATCAAAATTGTATTCAGATGGTCTTCAACTTAGGATGGTTCAACTTACAATTGTTCAACTTTACAATGGTGCAAAAGCCATACACATTCAGTAGAAACCATACTTGGAGTGCCCATAAACCATTCGTTTTTACTTTGACTATTCAACAGATTATATGAGGTATTCAACAGTTTATTATTATAAAATAGACTTTTTGTATTAGATGTTTTTGCCTAATTGCAGGCTAATGTAAGATTCTGAGCACATCTAAGGTAGACTAGGCATATTAAATGCATTTTTTGACTTATATTTTCAACTTAGAATGGGTTTACTTGGACTTAGTCCATCATAAGTCAACTAAAGCCTTTAGATATCAGACCAGCTACATATTTGGTACTAGGCCAAATTAATCTAATCCTTTTCTACAGAGCAGAGTATTAGCTATCATATGAGTCTCCCTTTTTCCTCGTGAATATCCTACTACATTATGCTGTTCTTCTCCAAGACATGGTTTCCAGACTTTTCACTTCCCTGGGCTCTCAAACGGAGCACTAAAATCTAGATGTGTATTACAGAGTCAGGCTTGTCAGACTTTCTATGGCAAAAGACCATGGCCAGGTTGGCTGGTTTGTGTACTTTTCAATCTGCTGCTGACCGATACATGGTTCTACCAGGCACAACTGTTTAACTTACCACCTATATGTGACTGGTTCAACAATACCTGAACTGGTTGGTCTATACCTTGTTCAGTGATACAAGTCTGCTAATCATGCCCTTGATTATGGTGACAACATACAACTGCTATTGAAGTTTCTAAACATATTCCTCAATTTCTGTACTTCCTCATCGTGACCACAAAGCATATTTTGAGTAATATTGGAATAAAGCCCAGCAAAACTGTTTTAAGAGAAATTCTCCTTGGCAGCCAATCATTCAGAGAAAGCTGTAACTTGTATTATTTTTAATTCTGTTAAAAGTAATATCACAACATTTATTGTCTTTCTCACTTTTCTTTCTTCAGTCTTCCCAGTGCTCTCTCTTTTTCTGCTTTGGTTGCATATGGACCTATTCTGGGGCCAAATGGTTCCTTCAATAATAATGGCCCAGGGTTCAGTAGCAGCATTTGAGCTGCAGTTAGACCTAAACAAACAGTCATGAAATTTCATTGATTCAGACAAACCAGGAAAGTCTTCCCTTTTACCTATACTCAAATGAAGTGTAACCTAAGAGACATACCTGGGGACATGTTCTAAACATAAGAGGTGATGTAAGACTAGTATATTTGTGGCATTCAAATTGGTTACTTCAAAGTATTTGGAAGGAGTTTGCCCTCATAGTGAAATATGACCCTTAAACCTGTGCTTTGTATATTTCTCAAAAATGAGGAAAGAAATTTTAGTTGACTTGAAATCCAAGACAACTAACTTATCAGAAATTAATTTCATTTAATGAGAATTTGCCATATTGCTAAAGCTATTATTAGGAAGCCATTGAATTAATTAACATATTAATGTTCAGAAAATAAAATAATCTTATTGAGGGGAACATTGACATATACTCACTCCCTCACAAACATCTTGTAACTTCAGTCAAGTTACTATACCTGCACATAATTATTACACTACTGATTACCATAGATTCTCCGTAGGCCAGGAACTGTGCTTAAGAATTCTTTGTGCCTCATCTCATCCTCACCTTGCTCAAGGAGGTAAGATGACATGTACTAGTGAGGAAAAAGAGGCTTCCATAGACTA